CTTTCAATCTTTTTAATTTTCTTCCTTTGTAGGTTATAAAGCATCCCTTAAAAAAAGTCTATTAATTATATTTCCAAATAAAATAATAAAAAATTAAAAAAAAGTTACTTAATATTAAGTCTAATATTCAGTCTTTCAGTAGCCATCTTACAGATTAGATATATTATGAAATAAAGCTTCAAGTTGCTGTTAAATTTTTAGTATGTGCACACTAACAATTCGACACAGAATACGAATAAATAAATAATACTTCAATATACTTTCTGAGAAATGTACAGTGACGAAAGATTTCACCGTTTTCAGTGTAGGGGTTCAATCGTCTACCGTAGCCAAAAGAGTTAAATTAAAATTGTCGTTGAACAACTTCGGCAGTGATGGCTAGACGCATATTATAATCGAAATAACTTTCGCAACGTCCACGCTCAAACGGTCCCGCAGAGCGATAGTTCGCGTTGGTGATAATTAAAACGCATTAGACGCGATTCGAGGGCGCGTCACGTCACCCTTTACCCTCGTTCACTTGCGTAACCCTTCCATGTACTTGCGTGTCTGTAGACGGCCACGCGAGTACGTGCACGTAGGCGTACACACGCGTATAGGCTTAGATACAGGGTGTCACGTCGTTACTCGTCGTCGACAACCGGGTGAATCTCGACGTCGACGTCGACGTCAGGGAAGCGGCGAGGCGTGAGGCGACGCGAGCGTAACGAACGCCTCGTCCTCGACGTCTGCCGGTCGTTTTTCTCCTTTCCTTTTTTGTTTCTACCGTCGCCCAGCCGCTCGAGAGGCACCTGTACTCTTCCGGAGATTTTATTTACGTGGAAATTCCAAGGGCGGCGGCCAGCGACGCTCTGACACGCCGACGTCGCGACGCCGACGAACACGCCGCTCTTCCTTCCTTTCTTTCTTTCTTCCTTTCTTATCTGTCGTATTCTTGTATGTGCAACGCTGAATTTCTTCTTCCCATCGCTGCAAACTCGCCCTCTGTCTCACTCGTCAACCCTTTTCTGACTCACGGATGGGATCAAGTGCGACGCGTACTTACGAATTCGAGCCAAGTTCAATTGCAAGTAAAAATATTGCAATGATTATATTCACGTTTCACGCGAGTGTGTATGTATTTATGCAAGCGGTAAACGAATGCAATTAAACGAGCCTATTCATCTATGCATGTAATGAATACGAGATTTGCTTCTTTTCAATTGTTGAAGTATGCCGCTGTTTTATTATACAGATTCTTCGTCAAGACAAAATAAAATAACGGCACATTGAACGTCGACCACTCGTAACATTTAGATATTCCTCAAACGAAAAAGATGACTGTCAATTAATTTCTAGCACTGTCTTCGTTTTTAATTATTTTGTTAGGCCAAGTTTGAAGATTACTTTTTGTAAACAACAAGTAGAAGAGCAAAAATTTGTAATATTTCACTGCAATCATAGAATCGTACGAACGGAAAGCAAATAAATGTCAGGTTACAGTGCAATTAATTATTTGCGAGGTAGTCGATCTCACTTTTAATTTTTGTTTCCTTCTCATCCCTTATCGCGTATTCCGTTCTCAGCCATCTGTCACGTTACCGTGGCAATGATATTCGGTCAATTTTTCCGAGAATTCGAATTCCATCGTAACTCTTCCTCCTCTCTTTAGTTTCCTCTTTTTTCCACCCTCCGTGTCTTCGTGTCACGGCCTCGAATGTTTCACGCGGCCCCCGGACGAAAGCTAATAACGCGTTGATCGAGCGGCGCACCGAACACGTCAAACCGACACACGCCGATGGAAATTCTTCTGGAAATGAAAACACTTAAACGCGACGGGCGTCGAACGCGATCCGAAATTGGAATCTCGCTGTAACGCTGTTCGAAGGATACGCACGGTTTCCACAGAGAAACAAACCGGTGGTGCGGTTGTCGCGCGATTGAAGAGGGGAACTTTTTTTTCGGCTCGAAATCCCTGTTGTTTCCGTGGTACGGTGGAAGGAAATACGAGCGAGCATTCGGGCTCGAACGCGCGAATAAATAGCAAGTTCGAGTCGATTGAATTTTCTATCGAGAGAAAAAACTGAAAACGGTTCGACTTTCTCGTTTTCATTTCTCGAAAGTCACTTTCGACGGTGTGGAGTGCTTTACGAATCGTTCATAATTTTTGCTATTCAGAAAGAAATCGAAACAAATATATATAGGTAATTTCGTGATCGTAAAATAATAAGTGAAAAACTTGTGCATTCGTTAGATTGATAAAAGTGTAATTAGTGTGTTGCTACTATGAACGATTCTACTTTGTAAATTAACAGATTATCTGTATAATGTAGTGACAAATATTAGAAGATTATAATTTTGAACACTGTAATACATTAAGCAGTAAGACAAAAAGCAGTATCCAATGTATTAATTCACCTTCGTTCTTTGAACCATTGCTTACGTTAATTTGAAAGTGTGCTCTTAATTGGAAATAATGGAAATGGTAATCCGGTACAGCAACAATGGTGGAATTTCTCTGGTAAGAGATACAGTAGATTGAACGATTAGTTCACTTAATAGCCCAACCATAGTCAAACAGATTGCACCATTGCTGTTTATACTGGTCTTTCTGCCGACCATTTGCATATTCAAATTGAGCTAATAGTCTTTGTATTACACTCGTTTGTTCAAGACATAGCCTATTTTGCCTAACGTGTAACATAGATTTCAAGATCTTTTTAACACGATGTTAACATTCTTCATTAAACTCATACCGAAGAGAAGGATTACTTCTTAAAAAGAAATTGAGAAAGAATATAAAGTTTTATTCGCATTTAAACAATTTAAAAAAAATGAAAATTTAATAAATATATTTCTTTAAAGAAAGCGTTGCAAGTTCTTTGGACATTATCGAAAAAATAAAATTTCAAGCGTCTCAAAAACAATTCTCAAGCTCGAGGGTATCAACGTCAAAGTCATAGGATTTCAAACTTTATAACAAAAAGCCTATCAACTGTTTGTTTGCAACAAAGATCTCAGGCTCTCGAAACTTGATAGTCACGAAACTCGCTGAAGCAAACTTCGTGATCATAAAATCACGATCATTAATCACCGTGTGGTGGAATGTGCCTCGAATGTTAGATCTTGATATCGAACTCTGATTACTGGGTACGTGAGCTTAGACCTTGACTTCCAGTTCCCGGGTCTTAAATTCCGTATCTTGATTCTCTCCTCGAGTCTCAGAAGCTGAGAATTGTGGCTTCCCGAGTTCCTGATTTGTACATCGATATATTCTGCTCTTTTAATACCACGAGCTTTAAGATCATTGTATCGTGATTGTTGCCGATGGTTTAAAATGCGTGAATGAACTTTTGATTCTGAAGTTGAAACCGGATTTTAGAGAGTTTAGTAATTGGGAATTCTATTCGTTTAAAGTTGTTACTCTTGATTAACGTTATGATTTTGGAGTTAGACTCGAAGGTCTTGATTACTATTGGACCTTAAAATTCCGGGTTCCGCGTGTTTCAAGTTTTCGTAATCAAGATATTCTTTGTTCAAAAGTTTCCTCGTTTTATCCACGTTATAAAATCATAGAATCGTGAGACTATAGATTTTAAAGATCTCACTCCAATGACTCTCTCACGCTACAAGAATAAATTTCCATTCTCGAAATTCTACGCTGACTTTTCCCTCACTGTCTAAAAGCTAAGCAGTTTTCTTTCGCACTTGTCTCTTTTGTTTCCTTAATTTCCACAATCGATTGAGAAAACGTAGAAGCGTTTTATTATATTTCACTGACTCTCAGTTCCGAGAAGGACTCTCTTTACATCTCGGGAAACGCGCGACGGGAAGAGCTATCGACCAAAAGTGGAAGTGAAACAGTATCGATATCAGCGTTTCCTGGCCGCTTCCAGATTTCCTTCGACTTCGAACGACGCGCAACGGGCCGGGAAAACTTCCGGTTCGGACCGGTCGAGCCAGTTCGGGATAGAAATTTCTTTCGTTAAACCGAAAGCAGGAAGTAAAGTTTTAATTAACGGCCACACGTCCCGGCCAGAACTTTATAGCCGCGAGGGAGTAGTTGGCAATCCTGAAAGCGTCGGGTCGACCTCGCAGCTGCCACGGATTTGCATTCAGATTGCATTTTTTTTCCTCTTTCTCTTTTTTTTTTCCTTTCCTTCTCTCTTTTCTTCTCTCTCTCTCTCTCTCTCTCTCTGTCTCTCTCTCTTTTTTTAAAGAGGTAATTACAGCGAGTTCCACACAGAGAAAGCCTGGCCGCGTCTCATCTGCATCCGGCCGGGTTTAAAACATCCTTCGTCAGGACTTCGCGTTGATCTCGCTTCTTCCCTCCTTCGAGGAATACCGCCGACGCGTCTCCTAATGATTTTTTAATTGCTCCTCCTATTCTTTCGAACGCCCCTCGACACGATCGTGGCTCGTTTGCTTTCGTGTTCTTTCGCCCCGCCATAAATTGTCCATTGTTCCCTTCGATTTTTCCTGTCAATGTTGAACGCCGTATTTTCAATAATTTAAGCGAACCTTTATCTTTGTTTCTTTTCTTTTTTTTTTTTTTTTTAGAAAAAATACAGGATTCGAGGATGTGTATTTTAAGAGGATTTTAGAAAAGAAGGACGATAGATTACGACAGCAATACGATGGAAAGTATATGCAATTGCTTCTCCTATGCGTAGATTATAGTTGTTTGCCTAGATTTTCAATAATTTACGCGGATCTTTATCTCACGGAGAAGTAAAATGTCTCGGTTCTGAGAACGTGTAACCTAAGAGGAAAATGTTTCGCAAGAAGAGAACGTCAACGACTTTAAGTAGGGTATTAAAAAGGAAGAAAAGTTAAGGAAAAAAGGAAACAGTGTACAAAGTATAGAGAAAAAAAACAAAAGAGAGGAAATCTCTTCGTACTTGCGCAAGCTGGTACATGTGTACTTCCGGCAAAGGCGAAAGAAAGACTTTTCCAAGGAAAAGCAAGCAGGACAAAAGAGAGAAAAGGAATGCCAAAGATGTCTAGGGTCGGAAAGTTGAAAGAAAAAGCAAAGAGAGAGAGAGAGAGAGAGATTTTTTTATAAAATTGCTACAATCTCTGACGTAGCTGCACGATACTGAAGATAATTCAAGTAACATTTGGCTATACCTATTTACGATTCAACTGGCTCACATTCAACGAGCTAATTTCTAAAGTTGTTCACGATTTTTATATTTTCGTATTTTTGTAACAAACTACATTTTTCCCTTGATGAATTCCTACTAAATTAAATTTATCCGCTCTGTTGATGTTTATGTTTGTAATTTAAAAAAAAAAAAACAGGATAGAACTTTCTCTATGTTCTCGCATTTTTAAATTTCGCATAAATGTACAAAAATATCTCCAGTTTCTTATAACATAAAAATATAATTTAACGAATTATATTTTTCAATGTATTTCACATTTGATAAAAGAATATTTATTATAATATTGGATTAGTTGGATATAACGGAGTATTTGTTATAATATTTCACAGACGAAACAAATTTCTGTTTAGGCTCTATTTTCAATTATACTTGGAAAAATTGAAAAATGCATAAGAAGTTTATTCGATTATTATTAAGAAGTATTGTTTTACTGCTTTCGCGATGTGCACGGCTACGTTATTATGTTGAAAAATGTATTTATTCGTTCGTGAATCATTTCAATATACTTTTTACATTTAATTTTCCTGTAATAAATTTTATTTCCATCTTACCGTAGTAATTAACACCTCCCCAAACCATTATACTGTCGTCTTCCATGGTCATCGACTCGGAAATATTGCTCTTTTCGTAAATCGTGATAGTAGCAGTGGAAGTTATCAGATTTGTCTAAATTGAATCTCTTTTCAACGATGAAAATATTTCGTATTCGTGTAATAAACACGTTTCTCTGCAAACTGCAAATGACACACTCTTGCTTTGACCAAACTTTCTGTTTTCATCGTTTAAAATGTTCAACATTCTTTAAAAATCGTCGAACTAACCAGCCAAACGTTTTTCGTAAATTCAGCTTCTTCTGCAATTTGACGCTACACGTATCATAACACGTACACTCGAGGTCGTCCAGAATTTGTTCTTTTTCCACAATTAATTGTTAACTGTTTTGGCTATTTTTATCCTAGAATAACATTCCCCGTTTAATTTCAATGTCGTGTGTATTTCAGCTGGATTCAACTTTTTCCGGCAATCCATTTCCACAAATGTTAATACGCATTTAATCGATTGTATTTTGCACGAACGTTACGTTCTCGATATCTTTCGTAAGACTGAGGAGCGTAAATATTCGACTATTTACATATTCTAATTCACTAATTCAATATACTACACATACATCCATGAATATTCCAAGAATACTGGCGTAAAAACAATCCGCGCGTACTCTCTCTACTTTGCGATAACACATAATACAAGAAAATATAAATAGAGTATTAGAGTAGAACAAACACAAGGCTGAAATATTCCATAGTTCTATAGTTCTGATCTCTCTAATCTGTAATTTCGCGGAAGATGACCGCTTAACGGATTAAATTGCCACTTTGCCGCTCTCTCGGAAGGGAATCACTCACTGCATATCTTGGTCATGATTGCCAGTAATTTTCTTACCTGCTCTGACCTGGACGTCGCGGCTGAGCACCCTGCCGACGGAATTGCTGGCCACGCATCTATAGGCCGCGCTGTGCACATCCTGCCGGAACGCGGCCGCCGGAAATGGTAAAAGGACCAACGTGCCGTTCCTCAGCACCCTCCGCACCCCCGGTACGTCGTTCACCGGATGTCCGTCCGCGGTCGACCAATCGATGTTGGGCGGTGGGCTTCCTGTCGCGCTGCAGTCCAGCCAGGCGCCGCTCGAATTCGAAAATTCCATCCTCGACGGCGGCTCCATCACGAAGCTTGGCCCGCGCAAATGCGCGTCGAAGCCGTGGCCACCGGCGGACGTCACCGCCACCGCTGCACCTGCGAAACAAAACGAAACGAGAACCGTTCAACGCATCCGAAAATTCGCATAAATCTGCCGGCTGATTGTGAAAAAAGCGGCGCCGCTCGCGCCGAATCGCATTGACCGTGCGTTCTCGACACGCGACAGTTTAATTGCCGCGTAAATCCCGTCGTTCCTGCATTTTTGCATATTTCCCGCCTCACACCCTCCGCCTTCTCGCCATTGCTAATAAAACGCTTCGCGAGCCGCGCTTGTTCGCTCGTTTGGTCTACAGGCCAGTTCCTTTCTTCGCGTTGATATTTTTATTTTTATTTATTTTTTTTTTTTGTATGGGAGGCGGGGCGGGCCCTCGTTCACGCCGTAAATCGATTGTAAATCTTCGCTTCGACGTGCGTTTGTTTTTCAGCGAGAGCTGGCTGCGCGGATGTTGCGCGGAAAATTTAGAAGGACGCGCAGACGTGCGAAACAATTGAAAGCCAGTGTTCGTTGCAGTGGAATTGCGCTTAAAAGAACTGCATAAATCTATTAGCGCGTGGGTTAATTTATCACGTTTAAATTGTTCACGACATGCACGATTCTATTTAGTTATCTATAGTGGCAGAAAATTAATCACGATCCGATCCGAAGGCAAGTCAAGCAAATTAAATGATCGTTACGTTTGTTGTTATTATAAACGTTCCAAAGTTCAATGTTGAAAATAACGCACCGAAAGAATTGCAAGCGAAGCTTTCAAATCAAAATATCATTCCACGTGGAATTCTAGTTAAATCTGTAATTATAAACAGTGACGTTCGGCTTGATGAAAGGTTTTCATACAGGTATACGTTTTTCTCGTGTGTTGCATGTGTTATATGGAAACTGAAATATAATAGCTTTACAAATGAACATTTCATTCGTTCCAGTTGCAATATTAAAACACATATTTATTAATTTTCCTCGATGTATTCGAATTATCTGCATTAATTTTGAAGCAAGCTCAAATCCCAAATGAAATAGCGGATGTATTAAAATTTTATGACTAACGATTTCTACGGATTTCTACAAGGGATTCTCGTATTTTCAAAATGTTTGAAACTATTAAAACTATTAAAAGGATGAGAACAACTCCTTCCATACCTTTCTTTATCCACGAATAAAATTACGTCGTGGAAGCAACAACGAGAATTTCTATCATTTTGTCGCTTGCAGTCTCTCTGAATAATATTAACCTCTCCATTAGGCTACTGCCTAATTTTATACTAGAAATTCAAAGTGAAAGGTAATCGTGAAACGACTCGACGTTTCAAACGTAATTTTTCCATCAATTAACCGTGAATTTCAATAGTCACTTTTCTTTTAGAAGATTCAAAGCGAAGAACACTCGTGAACGACTGGATGTTACAAGCTTTCATTAATTTTCCACGAGGAAAGAGGAACTCGGGAGCAGGCGTTGCGTTGTCTGCTGGTTACACTCACGGTTCGCCGATTTTATCTCGTGGCGCTCGCAGCTCGTCGATTCTCAGAATTGATTAAACGCTTCGGTAATCGCGATTGCCGAACGAACGATGGCCAGCAGGTTACCCGGATAACTTATCCTACTCGAAGTGTATCAGACGCTCGGTACTTAGACATAATGCTTTGATCGGGGGCGCGAAAACACGAGTCAGCAAGTACTCCGGAGCTCTTGCATCGTTAGAAGCCACTTGAGGCTAATAACTCTGGCCAGGCCGCTCCCGCAACTCGGGAGAGTGCAGTTTAATTGTCGACGGTATTCGTACGCTGCTGAAAGAAACTACGAGTGCAGTTCAATTTCACCGGGCCGGGATAGCTAATATCTTCCTTTCCCCTCCCCCTGCCCCCCCCCGCCTTTCGTGTTCCACGAAACGATCCGAAAGTTGCGAGTAACTACGAGCAGCTCGATAACGCGCAGAGTTATTCGGACGTCACGGCCTGTCTGGCTGGATCGATCTGGGTAACCGGTAAAGATAGCGCAGCGGAGCATTTTCCGTTTTTCTACACTCTGACAATTAACTCCTCTGGCTCTTTAACGTTTCACGATTCAATCTCGCTTCAACTTTGATTGAGAGAAAGACTTCTTTTAGACCGTTCTCGAAGCGCTTTTGTCTGGCAAACAAATTGAAGCAACATGTCACGTACGATCATTCGTGTATTTCCCTTTGAGGAATTGTTTTTAAAGACACCGAAAACTAATCTAATTCGAAGTCGGGACTAATCTAATAACTGTGCTGCGAAATCATTTAAGCTGCGTGTTTAATTAAAATGATCTAATAAATAGTTCGAATAAAAGTTTGAAACGAAAGGAGGGGGGGGGGGGAAACTCTTAAAATTTAAAATCGTTTAGATCAAACGAATATTTTAATTAAAAATTGAAAGTGGTTCGTTTAATGAAACGCATGTTTATTCTTTGGTTGTGAGAAACGAATTTATTCATTTGCTGTTCAAATTGATTTTATAGCTGCAGGTATACCTACTGTTCAAAGAATTCAAAGTTTAAGAATTATATCGTTGATTTGTTGTATATTTTGACGATTTTTAAATAAAGTCTTTGAAGTCTGTATTCAGATTGACTGAATTTTTACGACGGCACGAAAGATCGACACATCGATCCTTCGTTGTTATTCGAAAATGGAGATAAATTGCATGGTAACACACAGAGAAAGAGAAAGAGAAAGAGAAAGAGCGAGAGAGGAGAATTGCTTTACGCGAAACTTTGCGTAAAAATCTGCGCAAAGAGGCATATTACGTTTATCCAAGAACCGATTTCGCCGGTTCACGATGTAGCGCACTGATGGACGAGAATACGACGATAACGACGATCAAAAGAAACCTCGTTGGCCGTGCCATATCCGCGCGGAATTTTCCCGAGTTGGCTCGAGTTTAACGAAGATCACGATTTCATCGCGGCCACGTAGAAAGCGCGCACGTTCTAAAATTTGCGTATCGATCGCTGGCACGCTGGCCGTGTGGTCGTGTGTTAATTAAAAATTCATTTATCTTAAATTCAATTTCCTCTGACTACGAGCCAGTCGTGCTTGCGCTCACACACACACACACAC